AGAGAGAAAGAGGAGTTCACGAAAACGAAGTCAAAAACATAACTGCATGCACAGACAGACGCACTCAACTCAGTACAAGCGGTTTGCATCTGGCACAGCACAGTCCAGTCAGTCAGTGCCTGCAGTGCAGCGCAACACAGGCTGCCAACAGACTGTGCAGTGGCAAGCTGTGCTGTTGTCACGTTGGCCTAGCGCGCTAGCAAGGACAACGGCGTACAGCTAGCTGTAGAGTGTAGTAGATATTGTACGAGTCCGAGCGTGTCGTTGCACTAGCTAGCTAGCTAGACTGTAGGACTACACGTGACTGAACATGTAGCTGCTAGTGCTGCTGCTGTTACTTTTACTTTTTTAGATAGGCTCATACTCAGCAGATCAGCACTCGGATCGATCGGAGAGGTCGACGAGTAGACTAGACCTGCGCATACAAGTACAGTACGAGAGAAATCTACGAATCGTATCGTCACGTCCGTAGAAAACTCGACACACGGTCGGCACTGTAGATCTACTGGTGGTCGATGCGTGACTCACTGATCACACTCACAGTCCGAAGAAATCATTGAAAAGGCTTGAAGAAGATTTAGAAAAAAAAAGCAGCTGATCAGATCACGACGCGAGCTAGCTCGTGCGCGTGCGGAACAGACGCTGCATGCGCGATATGCTAGCTAGCCATGTAAAATGTAATGCGCCAAAGAAAAAGGCGGTCACCGGTGCACCACCTCTTTATCACTGGCACTGCACTACGGACTGAATATGTCGTTCATTCATCACATCTCTGGTGTCGCTTCTCGACGATCATGAGCATGAGAATCACAATTATGTTTCTGTCCCCCCATAGGGCCATACTGCATCAATGGTTCTCTTGTCTTGCATACGAGGTTTGGACTTAGATCGACCGTATCCTTGCTAATCAGCTCGCTGTGATTCTCCCCTGGAGTCATAATTATAAATTTAGGACTTGTGAGCCTGCAGTTCTGTACAGCCAGGCCCCCAGCCCCAGGGTCATTACACACATAACCAGTGTAGCGTTGTGACTTAGTCTTGGGCGAGTTCCCAGTTCCATTGGTCTCGCACGACACCTTGACTTCTTTGTAGATCCCTTTATAATTATACAGCGGAAGTCGCGCAGAATCCGGAACGGTTTCAAAGTTAGTTTCCTTGCAAGATCAGAATGAGCGATCAAGCAGTAACAGCTGAGACTGAGAGCAACGCAGTCGCCAGTGCAACCGAAGAAGTGCCACGTGCCGCCTCCGGTGAGGGTTCAACTAGAGTAACGACGAGTAGTAGGAGGGCCAACGCCACAAACGGTCGTTACGCCTCGCCGGGCACCGCTGACAGCGATCAGCTGTTACGGTGCTCGCATGAGCTAACGACAGAGCAACGGGAATTGATCGAGAGGTTGCGGTGCAGCCTAAAACCGGAGTTTGGTGATCGCGATGTGGACAAGTACCTTGACGACGAGGATATGCTGCGACGCTATTTGAAGGGACACGGGTGGAATTTCGATACGGCGCGCCGCTACCTCGCCAAGTCGCTAGCGTTCAGGGAGAAGAAACCTAGACCAGCATCATGGACGTGCAGCTATTGCGTGGACAATCCAGGATACCATTGTATGAGACAGGTAGGATCGGGCACGTGCACAGGACATACGTACATAGACATAGTGTGCATGTCCCAGTATCCCGTTCACATGGTTCATGATCATTGACATTGATATACTGGTACTGGCTGCTACTGTAGCGGACGTGGAAATCCAGTCGGTTTACCGGAGCCGGCGCCCTCAGCGCGTACAGAACGCTGAGTGCAGTGCACAAAGCTAAAGTCATGCTGATCCGCGATGCGACCAGCGCGCTGCATCGCATAATGCATGTTCCGCTTACTATTATCCACGGCTGCATGGCCAGCGCCCTGGGGCCGCTAGACGTGCGACCTGATTTCCATGTCCACAACAATAGTACCGTTGATCCACCCCTGCTCTAATTCCCGCCCCTGTCGAATTTCTGCCTGTGAAGCGACGTCGGCGTATACAACGAAATACGATGTTGAACCGACGCATGTACTGCTGTACACCGTGTGTGCGAGTGCAGGATGAATATGTGCACAATCCAACATGCCAGGTCTGATCTTCTGCTTTATTGTACATTGTACATCGTACTGCACTTGACAGCCTTGATCTAATTCCCGCCCCCTGCTGAAAAACCACCTGGGAAGCGACACAGCGTGGGGGGGGAGGGGATCAACGGTACTTTACGGTACTGGGACATGTACCGGATACCACCGTGGCTGCGTGCATTGTAAAGAGGTTATGTGAATGATTTCATCGAGATCTTCAAATGGACACAAGTGCCGTAACGTACCGTAGATCCGCCCCCACGCCATGTCGCTTCCCAGCTGGGTTTTCGGCAGGGGGCGGGAATTAGATCAAGGCTGTCAAGTGCAGTACGATGTACAACAATGAGTTACGTGGAAGTTCAGACTCGATGAGCTGAATAAGAATTGTGCACATTTTCACCCTGCACTGGCACGTATTGTGTACAGCTGTGCATGCATCGGTTCAACATCGTGTTTCGTTGTACACGCCAAAGTCGCTTCACAGGTAGAAAATCGGCAGGGGGCGGGAGTTAGAGAGGGGGCGGATCGACGGTACTTTACGTTATATGAGCGTGAGTCAGCAGCTTTTCGAATGGGTGCAGTGTGAGTCGCTAGTGGAAGTGCAGCGCTGTGCCGCGATTCCGCGACTCCGCCGTAGCATCTCAACTGATGATGTAATGGCATATCCTCTATTGGTTTGCCACTCCGAATAAGACCTGGCATTGGTTATCACTTCATGCACAGGCTATGTCATGGTCTCTCATTCGCGCTCACTATAACAGTTAGAGGTACAATGATCACAGAGCAACGATGTTACTCTGAGTAACCATGGTAACGGCGGGAAAGGACTTGGATGCGTCGTTGCTGTGTGATCATTGTATGGCTGGCTCTGTCCACTGGACATAGAGCACTGTACGCAACCTGAGGACTTTAGACACCTGTCTAACAGGTAGCGGTTGTGCGATTACATCATCAGTTGAAATGCTTTGGCAAATTCGTGGACTCGCGGCACAGCGCTGCACTTGCACTAGCAACTCATGCTGCATACTTAGCGGCCATAAGAAAATCATCTGCGTAACCTCCATATAAACTGGCATATTGGTTTTAAAAGGTTATAACCTTATGACTTCATACAAAGGTTACTAGTAGACAATGGTCTCATTCACGCTATACCTAATAATTAATATGATCGCCCTAGGCCTAGTGAAGGGGACGAGAACGCACATCCTGACTGTAATAGTCCTACACCTCCTTCTATAGAGACTATCCTATTACAATAGCAGGGATCAAGTCCTAGATTTCTGGAGTGCCCAGCACAACAAGGATGGAGCAATACCCGCAAAGGCAGAAGAGAACATTGACAAGGTTAGGGGCCGTCCAAGGTTACCAATAGTATTTTCAACACGAAATGTTTTCGTATGAGGGTGGGTGGGTTTTTGGAGCCTTGTTTTGAAAATAATTATAAAATGTACACGGGGAAAATGCCCAGTTACTTCTGGGTGCCGATAATTGAAATCAATATTTTTGTTGGACTGCGTTTGACCTGCAGAAAGGGTGGGTGGGGGTTGAAAAATATTAAAACTGTGCGTTCGCAAAAAAAAACATGTCGGTAACCCCGGACGGCCCCTTATGCAATAATTACTGTATGATCATTTTCTGGTGTGTGTGTGTGTGTGTGTGTGTGTGTGTGTGTGTGTATGTGTGTGTGGGGGGGGGGGGGTATTACGCCACTTCTGAGTATTCCCAGGTACTTATTGCAGTGATTCCGCTGCTGCTCTGGATACAAACTTATGCACTGCACTTCTGTGCTACTGTGTGGCTAGGTTGGGTTTGACGTTCGTGGTCGTCCAGTCTTCTACAGTAGCTTTATTCAGGCAGCGGTCACTAGCAACTCGGGTGCGGATAGCGTCGAGCACTTTGTCTACCTCACGGAGAATGCGGTGCGCTCCATCCGCCATCGTGAGCAGAAGGGTCAGTCGAGTCTCTCGCCACGTGTGGACGACTGGGTTTGGATCATGGACTGTACAGGTAAGCGCTAGAAACAGTGTACACGCAGTCATACCATGACACATGAACAACAATACTTCATGGATTTCAACGTTGTTTTCTTGTGACTTTCATCAGAAATCTTCATCACAATTGGATATTTTTGGACTACAAAAAAATTCACGGTTCGCCTGAGACTCGGCTGCAGGCCGAGTTTTCCGCATCGGCAGCAACACCACCAGCCTCTAGGATCAAGGCAGGAACACCACCACCCTCTAGGATCAAGGCAGGAACACCACCACCCTCTAGGATCAAGGCAGGAACGCCACCACCCTCTAGGATCAAGGCAGGAACGCCACCACCCTCTAGGATCAAGGCAGGAACGCCACCACCCTCTAGGATCAAGGCAGGAACGCCACCACCCTCTAGGATCAAGGCAGGAACACCACCACCCTCTAGGATCAAGGCAGGAACACCACCACCCTCTAGGATCAAGGCAGGAACACCACCACCCTCTAGGATCAAGGCAGGAACACCACCACCCTCTAGGATCAAGGCAGGAACACCACCACCCTCTAGGATCAAGGCAGGAACACCACCACCCTCTAGGATCAAGGCAGGAACACCACCACCCTCTAGGATCAAGGCAGGAACACCACCACCCTCTAGGATCAAGGCAGGAACGCCACCACCCTCTAGGATCAAGGCAGGAACGCCACCACCCTCTAGGATCAAGGCAGGAACGCCACCACCCTCTAGGATCAAGGCAGGAACGCCACCACCCTCTAGGATCAAGGCAGGAACACCACCACCCTCTAGGATCAAGGCAGGAACACCACCACCCTCTAGGATCAAGGCAGGAACACCACCACCCTCTAGGATCAAGGCAGGAACACCACCACCCTCTAGGATCAAGGCAGGAACACCACCACCCTCTAGGATCAAGGCAGGAACACCACCACCCTCTAGGATCAAGGCAGGAACACCACCACCCTCTAGGATCAAGGCAGGAACACCACCACCCTCTAGGATCAAGGCAGGAACGCCACCACCCTCTAGGATCAAGGCAGGAACGCCACCACCCTCTAGGATCAAGGCAGGAACGCCACCACCCTCTAGGATCAAGGCAGGAACGCCACCACCCTCTAGGATCAAGGCAGGAACACCACCACCCTCTAGGATCAAGGCAGGAACACCACCACCCTCTAGGATCAAGGCAGGAACACCACCACCCTCTAGGATCAAGGCAGGAACACCACCACCCTCTAGGATCAAGGCAGGAACACCACCACCCTCTAGGACCAAGGCAGGAACACCACCACCCTCTAGGATCAAGGCAGGAACACCACCACCCTCTAGGATCAAGGCGCAGATGCAGCTCCTAAGCGGTGGGTAGGTCAGACCCACCACAAAGTGGTCAAAGACCGAAAATCCCATTCACTGCATCCATGTTTCCCTCGTGCCAGGTCACGAGTTCCCAATTAACTGTGGGTTGCAGCATGGCTGGACTACAACAAAACATTACAATTCTAATACCCAGAGGTACAATGTAAGATACAGGTAAACAATGGGAATGTGTACGCAGTGTTCCTATGTTTTCCCGCCGTGGCCACCGGGAGCTGGATATCTTATGGCATGGCCAACAATCATCAGAGGCGCTTAGTGGCACATGCGGGGCTGTCTCCCAAAGATGTGTCCTTTTGTGTGTCTGATGCCCCTGGCTGTTGCAACTTGGGAATATGACACTGAACTGACACTCTCACCGAGAATCTATCACTTATGAATTTAGTTTAGTTATGATCGTGGCCTGGCACGAGGGAAACATGGATGCAGTGAATGGGATTTTCGGTCTTTGACCACTTTGTGGTGGGTCTGATCTACTCACCTCCCACCGCTTAGGAGCTGCATCTGCGCCTTGATCCAAGAGGGTGGTGGCGTTCCTGCGGATGCGGAAAACTGGGCCTTCGGCCGAGTCTCACGTGAACCGTGAAATTTGTATTATTATAATTTTTAATGATCGATTGATTGGCTTCAGGGTAGCCTTGTTACGCAGCCTGCGGAAACGGCGCAGCCGATGTAATTTCAGAATAAAGCGAAGGTTCAGTGTGAAGAGGAGAACGTGCTAATGATGTGGTTGGGGTGGACTATGCATTATTACCTTAGAAAACCTCCTTTTGGGCTTTTACAGCAGTTGTTCAAAGCATCAAACTGTTCGCAAGGTTTATTTCCGCATGATCTGCAGGTTGAAATAGTGGTTGCGACTTCGGCGATGATTTTTTTAGGAATGAGTTTGCTCCCACACTGGTGCTCGCGCTATTCCGCCGACTTGACTTGACACTTGACTGACTCGCGACTGCCATCCAGAGCACACGAGAAATCCATTGAACCTTCGACTCGGCAAACCTGCAAGAAAGCACCACTCCCTGCTCAATACACAGTGTTTCGGGGAATTCACCCCTCATCAGTTGAGCTTGAGTAGGCTGAGGAAGATTGTGCCTGAAGACCACCACTTGGATAGTGCTCTCCAGGCACAAACATCACCAGGGATACAAACTTACAGAGACGCTCCGTTTCCAGCGCAACAAACATCTCGTGAACACCAGATAGCAGTGTGAGTCAGTGTCGCTCCTGGACGGCGAGAACAGACGCAGAGGACCCTGGGTCATTCACAACGCTTTCACCTCCAAACCAGCGAGTCGGCAGCCCGCGCTGGGCACAACAGTACGAAATAGTGGTTGCGGCTTCGGCGATGATTTTTTAGGAATGAGTTTGCTCCCACACTGGAGCTCGCGCTATTCCGCCGACTTGACTTGACACTTGACTGACTCACGACTGCTATCCAGAGCTGCATATCTGCGGGTTGGTATTTTAATTTTTATAGATGAAAATAATAAATCTTCATGGTGTGTGTGTGTGTGTGTGTGTGTGTGTGCGTGCACACGAGCGTGTGTGTGTGTGTGTGTGTGTGTGTGTGTGTACGTGTGTGCATGCGTGCGTGCATGTGTGTATGTGTGTTATGTACATCGCGTGACCTATGCGATGGTGTGCGATCAAACGTACAGGTATGGGCTGGGCAGCATGCAATCCGAAGATCGCCATCCAGGTGAACTCCTTACTGGGTGACCACTATCCTGAGCGTCTTGGCCTGACCGTCGCACTCAATGCTGGTTTTCTTATGCGCTCCGCATGGGCAGCCATCAAGGTGAGATGCAGTACGCGACTCTGCACCGTGATGGAGGTCATGTGATTATGTCATCATTTGAGATGCTCTGTATGGCGTGGCAAACTGTAGCGTCACTAGCACTCGTTTACGACTCGATGCAAACTAGCACTCGTTTGCGACTCGATACAAACTAGCATTTGTTTACGACTCAATACAAGCTAGCATTCGTTTACAACTCGATGCAAACTAGCACTCATTTACTACGCAATGCAATTAGCACTCGTTTATAACTCGATACAAGCTAGCACTCGTTTACAACTCGATGCAAGCTAGCACTCGTTTAAGACTCGATACAAACTACCGTAAAAGCCCGTATAGGCCCCCGGGCGTACAGAATAGCAGCCTCGATTTCGTGGGCGTATACAAGGGCACGGGCGTTATTTTGGAACCGGGCGTATACTTGGAATAGGGATAGCAGTAAGTATTGGGAATCAGTAGCTGTACATGTAATGGTGTTGCCGGCATACCTGGGCGTATACATGGGCATGGGCGCTATTTTGAAACAAAAGGGTTGACTTCCGCTGACCGGGCGTGTACATGGAGGGTGGGCGTAATTTCGAGTGGGCGTATACAGGGACTTTTACGGTAGCAATGGTTTGACACGCAATGCAATGATCTCATCTGCAGAACCTCTATCGTAACTGTCGTACCATGATCGTGCTGTGCCTTTAAACACAGTGAATGCGTTCGATTACGCACTTGAATCGATTCATGAATGGAATCTCGCCGTTCGATTTCTCGTCATGAGCCCTGGAATCGATTCGGAATCCATTCACCCTGTTCACATCGGGTGATGTGAATAGCGCGAATGGATTCATGAATGAATTCATGAATCGATGCGCGGGCATAATCGAACGCACTCAGTACGCTGTTCTCGTTCAAACCGGCCCTGGCGAATATCCCTGTGGCAATTGTGGTCCCAAAGATTCTGAGAGAGCCCCTCCCCCCACCCCCCCCCCCCCTCCCCCCACCCCCAGGGTATCCAAACAACAGACATGGTGCTGTAGTAGACGTAAGCCTTGGGTGATGGCCATTCCGCGTAGATTCTAGGACTCTTAGCCAAGCATGCTAGGCAGATTCTTAATCCATCTCTGTTTTTGTTGTTTGCATCTGTGTGTGTGCGTGTGTGTGTGTGTGTGTGTGTGTGTGTGTGTGTGTGTGTGTGCTTGTGTGCGCGTGTGTGTGTGTGTGTGTGTGTGTGTGTGTGTGTGTGTGTGTATGTGTGTGTGTGTGTATGTGTGTGTGTGCATGTGTGCGTGTATCTGTGTGTGTGTGTGTGTGTGTGTGTGTGTGTGTGTGTGTGTATGTGTGTCCCATATGGTGCAGTGGTATGTGCAGTCGATTTCCAATCGATAGGTTGCGGGTTCAATTCCCGACGATTATGGTGGCACATGTCTTTCTTCTCTTTCTTGGACTCTTCCTGACTTTTCTTTCATTCTCCTGGGTGGTTACCAACAGCCAGTGTATGCCGGAGTATGTGGTGTGGTGTGTGTGTGTAGAAAAAAATGGAAAAATGAAAATAGGGATTCACTGGCCAGAAAAAGTCACTTCAATCAGCTGTGTGGTGGATACCAGGCTAAAAATAGTGGTGGTCAATTCATCAGCCTTGCAAGCTGTTGAATGGTGTAATCCCAGCACAAGTTGCTATGTCTAACATAGATGTTCGCTATCATCGCTTCCGCGATGGGCAGGTCTGAGGTCTGAGGTGTGTATGTATGTGTGTGCGTGTATGTGTGTGTGTGTGTGTGTGTGTGTGTGTGTGTGTGTGTGTGTGTGTGTGTGTGTCCCATATGGTGCAGTGGTATGTGCAGCGATTTCCAATCGATAGGTTGCGGGTTCGATTCCCGACGATTATGGTCACACACGTCTTTCTTCTCTTTCTAAGACTCTTCCTGACTTTTCTTTCATTCTCCTGGGTGGTTACCAACAGCCAGTGCATGCCGGAGTATGTGGTGTGATGTGTGTGCGGGAAAAAAAAAAAAAAAAAAAAAAAAAAGACCAAAAATAGGGATTCACTGGCCAGAAAAAGTCACTTCAAATAGCTGTATGGTGTAGACCAGGCTGAATAGTGACGGTCAATTCTTCAGCCTTGCAAGCTGTTGAATGGTGCAATCCCAGCACAAGCTGCTATGGCATCTGCCGTAGCATTGCTATCATCGCCTCCGGCGATGGGCGTCAAAGGTCAAAGGTCAAAGGTGTGTGTGTGTGCGTGTGCGCGTGTGTGTGTTCGTGCAGGTGTTCCTTTCGCCAGCAACGGCAGCCAAGCTCGTTTACGTCAGTGACCTGGCGGAGCAACGAGAGGTGTTTGATCAAGAGCTGTTTGACTGGCTGCAGACGGAGGAACGGCTAAACAAGGAGTCCCCGCTCTCCGAATCACAGCGCGTCTTCTGGTGCAAACCGAAAAATGCGACCGCACACGACCCACGCGGTACGCATAGCTATGTGCACGAGTTCATCGATCAAGTGTCCCTTGCAGCTGTGCCGTCTGAGGAGACTGACGGGGATGCCCACATACCCAGTCATCTACGCCGTCCACTGCCTCACCCCAACACTGTTGTCGAGAAGCGGCGAGGCTCATCACCCGTCTAGGCTCGTGTGTCACGGTGTGTGTGTGTGTGCGCGCGTGTGTGTGTGCGCGCGCGTGGGCGCATGTGCGTTCGTGAGCGTGTGTTTAGCGAAGTTCTGTACCGACAGACCAGATCACATGCCTGACACTGACCTGGAGGATCTAGGATACGCATGCATGCATCCAAGCTATTATTCTTTTATCATTCTATTTATTTTCGTGTCATTCTGAGAAGTCAAATTATTGGTTTCCTCTAATAGTGCGATGCAGCTCAGTGCCACTTGTGCCTCGACTTGATGTTGATAGATCAATGGACAGTAGCTACTGGTACATGTACATGTCTGCTTGAACAACACGAGAGCTGGCCATGGCCATGTCAAACTATACACAGCCACTACTTGGCGCCCAACTGAGCTGCCGCTACTAGTATTCTTAATTATTGGGAGAAAAACCACTAGAGTCTAGAAGCTATATGAAGGAACTCAGTATCAATGTATGTGTCGCTTTGCTAGTGGTGTGCTGTGGTGCTGTGGCAACGTCGTGTCGAGGTTGGCTGGAGAGCGGCGCAGTTATGGTGTGGTGGGTGATGAGCAATCTGTACAGCTGCCCCCCCCCCCCTCCCCGTGAACTCCGCGATTCCGCGGATTGCAGAATTTCCACAGAATCCAGTAGTGTCCGCAGAATTCAGAAAGTCCCGCGGAATATTGCAGAAAAGAGAGAAAAGCTGCTTTTTGATGTATTTCACAGCCAAACGAACCTGCTTGTGCCCTTCAACATCAACGTGCACTGTACATTTTGGAGCTTTCAATTTTTTGGACCAGGATTTCGCATAATTTTGGTTCAGAATTTTATAGGGACAACAAACCTCGGTGGGGTTGCGGAAATTCTATATATCTGTTTTATGCTCATTTCCCTTGCAGAATTGCAGCCGAATTTGGAAGGATTTGCAGAATTAGCGCAGAATTAACTGTTTTCAGCCGCAGAATTCTCCACGGAATTTCTGATATTCTGCCGCGGAATTCACGGGGGCGGGTACAGGGCCAAATGCTGCTGCTTACACTTTGGTTTTAAACCATTTGTGTCTCTAGAGACATCCATCAGTGATTACAAATTATTTAGAAACATTATGGTCTCTAGAACATCCATTAGTGACTACAGATCTAACATCAGTGCTGTTGATGGACAGTTGAATCCATCCTGGCTGTTCATACTTGCCCCGTGCGATGCTGACTTGGGGCGTAGGTCACATACAAACACAATCATACAAACACACAATTTAACATGTCATGGGGCTTCATATGGAAATTTGTACATGTACCTTTTGAAGTATTTTGGGCAGAATGGTTGCCTTATCCAAGTGGTCACGTTGACAGGTTTTTACTGCACACGCAGAGTGTAGTACAATCAAGAACGGGGGGGGGGGGGGGGGGGGGGGGGGCTGGTAATAACACGTCTTACAGTAGACTAGTAGAGCATGCACATGCAGTCCCATAAATACACCGGTACATTGTTATTACCGGTATAACGAGTCGGAAGTTTAAGCCTTAAGGATTGCAAACAATCTTGCAGTCTTCAAGTTCAGGCATATCCATACGTAACACGTACGATGCGAGGCATTCGAGCTTCAAGAGAACGAAGAAATGTCAACTCGTTGAAGAGTAGATTTACTTGCTTGTTATATTGACATGACGTCTTTCAGTAATTACAGCAGGTTATGTGCAGAGAAGTATGAATGCACGGAACAGTCGCACATGCAGCAGCAGTGCCAGCACTGAGCTGTCTCTTCATCTATGCAGGACTTCGACAGTAACAGCCCATATGCTGCAAGAAAATGCGCGCGTGTGTGTGTGTGTGTGTGTGTGTGTGTGTGTGTGTGTGTGTGTGTGTGTGTGTGTGTGTGTGTAGGTGCGCGTGCACACACCACTATTCGGCCTTCTTCTCGGTGGCGGCCTTCTCCTTCTTGCGCAGAGCTACCTTTCTCAGGTTGCTATTCGTGTTGGAGATGAGTCGGGTCAGGGCAAAGCCTGGCAAGTTGCGGTAAGCCAGACACGCCTGGACACGACATAAGAGGTACAGCAGAAGCAAGGCATACGTTACCATACGTTACCAAGAGTACATAACCCCCAAGAGTGTGCAACTGCCTGCACAACCTCTATGCAGTGCTGCAACGGCAGAACTTCACATCACGTGACATGGTTCAAAAGGTCACACTGGCAAACAGTGCAAAGTGACCACAAGCGATTTGTACCCAAAGCTGGGTTGCGTACAACCCTGTATCAATCATGCACAGAGTGCAAATATTGTGTACGGGTTCATCACGTGATGTGAAGTTCTGCCTTCCCAGACCCCATAGCTGGAGTTGCACACTCTTGGGGGTTATGTAGTCTTGACGTTACTCGAAACAGCCCCTAGAATACAAGATGGAAGTATATACGCTAATGTCAGAAATTTTCGGTGCTCAATACTTCGGTACGAGAGCAAAAGGCCAGGTTAGGTGAACAGAAATTTTAGGTGCAGAGAAGCAATTCACCGTTGGATTATGTGTGTTAGTGTTTGTTCGGATATTGGAATTTTAGGTATGAAACAGATGCACCGAATGTACCGAAAATAAAAGTACACCAACAATTTGTGAAACTAAAGTAGTAGGTTTCATAGCACGAGAATTTCGGGGAGTCAGCCCTTTCCACTTTGGAAATCCGGAATTTGTTTTGTGTGCACAAACTACTGGTACAATAGAACCTGTAACTAACCACCACCACCACCATCACCACCACCATCACCACCACCACGGTCCTACCTTCGGAGCCAGAAAAAGCGGTCTTTAGTTGGAGGTTTGCACAGTGCGACCATAAACGGATCCCATTACATGATTATGTATGTCAAAATGCAGCTAATACAATTCCCTGCTAGTTGCACTATGCCATTCTTGTTACAGATCATACAACATTGAGAGAGAGAGAGAGAGAGAAAATTAAAAGTTTATTGTTGATACGAAATTCAGTTGCTTCTTGTGAAGCCAGGTGCCAAGTGTTCCTCGTGGAAGTTGAGGTTCACTCTGGGCTTCAACTTTGTTGATGAAATCAGTAAGTACCGTAGCATGTTAGCAATGTATTCTTCATCGGCGTGACTGGGGTATGTTGGACAGAGCAGCTCAGTGCCCCCTACCCCCCCCCCCCCCCCCCCCCCCCCCCCACCAGCCACTCACCTCCAACCATCCACACTTTCTCCCCCCCCCCCCCCCCCTCCCTCCTACATCTACACATACATATCCACACCCAGAGCTGCACACCCACATACGCACACCCACCCATACCTACACCCATACACACACCCCCACCCATACCTACACCCACACCAACGCACATGTTACTACTCACAATCAATGAGTGGACCCAGTAACCCTGAGTGCGAGATGACACACCAATGGTGCGAATGGCTGAGCGAACGAATGTTGTCGGCGATGGTGCATCGATGCGAGGTCTGCGGATCTTGGCCAGTTTCGTGGCAACGAAGAAAGGCATCACGGATTGGAAGGTTACACCTTTGCCAGCATATTCAGCCTAAGACAGCAGAAAAAGGGAGAAGGAGAGAGAGAGAGAGAGAGAGAGAGAGAGAGAGAGAGAGAGAGAGAGAGAGAGAGAGAGAAAGTTACATTAATTTTTATAAAAGCAGGTATGTCTAACTCTAACAAATGAGGACCGATACCTCAACAACAGGGGAGAGAGAGAGAGAGAGAGAGAGTGTGTGTGTGTGTGTGTGTGTGTGTGTGTGTGTGTGTGTATCTGGCGCTAGTCTTGATATGTCTCATTCAGATCTTATCCGCTATTATTGCTATAAGGATTGGTTCACATAAGCCAAATGACCGGCGGTGAGCCAGCTCCCGGTCCATCCTGCATACGATTCGAGTACTGCTGTAGTACACTGTGTATGTGTGTGTGCACGTGCGTGCGCGTGTATGTATGAGAGAGAGGGGCAGATCCAGACACAAGCTTAGGTGTATGTACGCATGGGCAGCTCACCTCCATGGCGCGCGTGAAAAAGTCGGCAAATGCCTTCGATCCGCCGTACAGAGCCAGGAACGGGGTGGGTACAAGACCACTGGCAGAGCCGACGTTCACGATAGCTCCACGATGACGCTCCACCATGCCCGGTAGAACGATGCGTGTCATCATTGCCATGGAGAGCACGTTGACATTCACCATGCGAGCAGCAAGGTCCTCACTGACCTCATGGTAGGGCATGGGGTAATCATATCCCATGCCAACGTTGTTCACCAGCACGCCCACGTCCAGCTCTGGCAGCACAGTCTGCAGAGGGCCGTACACTTCCGCACCGCCAGAGAAATCCAGTGCTAATGTGCGAAACTCGCGATCCGGGAATTTCTCTGCAAGCTCGGCGGCGCATTGGTCCAGCTTGGACTGCGTCCGGCTAATCAGGAACACGTTCAGGCCGCAGCGTGCGAATTCCTCGGCATACGCCTTGCCAATGCCGTCCGTCGCGCCAGTCACCACCGCCCATTCCCCCAGCTTGCGTATGTGTGCAGTTGAGGACAGAACGTAATTCCTCATAAATCTGGTGAATTGCAAAAGGGCATTGTAGGTCAGATATCCACCGTAGATTAATCCCAGGAGGATGAGAACATCTCCTGTGTAGCCTTGCCGCACACAGGCAGGCAGCATGTCCATAATACAGCCACCAGCCATTTTCAAAAGACGTCCTCAGCTTCCTCAACCAAAGGAGAGAGGAAGAAAAAGGAAAGGAGAAAAAGAAAACTGTGGAAGGTTTTGTATTTGATCGATCGGCCGGCCGCGGGCCGCGTCACGTGGCGTGTGATTTTTGAAGACTGAAACACTGCACCGTGCACCAATGATGTGACGTGACCGACTGTCACAGTGTCGGTCAAAGGTCACACGCGCACAGTCTCACACTTGCTACCCTGACATGCTGTCCAACCGTCCTTCTTTCAGCAGGACGGTCCTGCTTTGGACCAAAACTTTTGTGTACATTTACATGGGAGACAGTCGCCTTGGTATACATTTTGTCCTGCTTTGGAAAGGTGGCAAGGCCGGACAGTCTGCCCTGATCACGCCACTACAACATCAAGAGTGCGGTAGCGCTGTCGACATGTCCGGGGGGTTTCAAGGTCTGCATCATGCATCACATTCAAAGACAGGGCTAGGGCAGTAGGGGTAACGGGTGGTTATAAGGACCTCCGACTTCGGGTACTACTCCCGGCATTACCATGAATGATTACTGTATCCAGACTCAACAAGTCATGGTTGATGATGATGAATGATGATGATGCTAATCAAGAGTATCCTCTACGGTCTACCAGTACCACACACGCACAAGAACAAGCTAAGATCTGCACGACGAGGTCCCGCCTACTTGTACCTGTACTGCTGTAGTACAATGTGCGCAACTAGCGATTTTTGGAAAGAAGGTCCTCTGCTTGGGGAGCCACCGACCCTGAGTGACCCTGTCCATGGTGAGCGCTAGTATGGATCTATGCCAGCTAGGCCTATGGAGCGCTCGCTGGTGGTAGCCCTACCATGGTCTGTACTTTATGTATGCACAAACGGATGTGTAGCACCTCTCACCCGGGCGCATGCAGGTATCACTTTATGAGTTTTGCATGTGGGTATGACCAGATGACGGAGACATGCAGGGCATGCAGGTATCTGGTGCATGTTGGTATAGTATTCATGAGCTTAGCTAGTGAAGCCATTGTACATACTCATTGTACTGTGATCCCCCCCCCCCCCCCCAACTACTGCATGCATTGGAGAGCGCAATACATGAATACATTGTAATTCTGACTCATGATGTCATTATTAGATTCATTACCCTTCATGCCCCCCCCCCCTCCCCTCCTCCCATGGGAAATTCCCCGGGAATGAAATCCTCCCGGTTTGCCAGTAAAACGGTTAAGGTGGCTCCTACCCCTCGGGTCCAAATTTTTTTTGTTTGAAACGTGGCTACAAACGATTGTTCTTTGTTCCGTAGGATATCTAGTGTACGGAGACAAAATTTTATCAAGTTCTACCGGCCGGTTTCACTCGGGGGAGGGGCCAAACATAGCATACTCACAATTGCCAATTTAGGCCAAAAAACACCGGAAAACCACTTTTTTGGCCGTAGCACTCGTAGTTACCCCATTTTCTTGATGTCCAACATCAGGACAGTAGTATACTTGCTAAATACCAGCATAAGCTTTAGAAGTGGGTAGAATTCTGCTAGAAGGTGACCTTTTTCTCTTTTCGGAATCATCCCATTTCAGCGCACACGTCCCACATATTAGCCCCGCCCACAAGTATTTGACACTGGACTTGCCCTGTATTCAATGGTTATGCTATCATAACCTAATAATGGTACTGTGTAGCAAGTTTGAGCAGGTTCTACCGAAGGTAACTCTTGAAATAAAACTTTGAAGTGTCAAGTGATGCCATATTTTCAAGAATCAGCACATTGCACTGGGACATTGTCCAACGCCTTAGAACCCCTGACTCTACCATATGACAGATACGTATCTTGCAATAATTGATTGCAACATCTTCCGAACATAGTAGTAGAGCTTTGGATCAAGTTTTAGCAGTTTCCACCGAAGCTAACTACCAAAATAAAACGTTGAAGTCGCCCACATACTAAATGCAATAGCTGAGCATGTGCATTGAGTGTATGGTCTAAAGGTTTTCACAACTAGCTCCAATGCGGCAGATACGTGTCTTACATTACTTGATTGCAACATCTTCAGAACATAGTAGTAGAGCTTTGGATCAAGTTTAGACAGTTTCTACCGAAGCTAACTACCAAAATAGAACTTTGAAGTCGCCCACATACTAAATGCCATACATGTAGCTGAGCATGTGTATTGAGTGTGCATGTATGCTCTAGTGTTTTTCACAACTTTCTCCAACATGAAGCCAATACTGATGTGGAATTTTTTGACTGCTTTGTCCAAAACACAGTGCTAAAGCAATGCACATTGGGCACTTTCTACTGGTAATGCAATTATTATTATTATACAGTGTTTGCTGCCAACATAGCAAGCAATACTGCTATACTAAATGCGTATTCCATTGGGTACGGTCCAATGGCTTTTCACTTCGCATCTAGCCATTGTTCTTCGTGCATTTCTTGAATGCTTAGTCTCCGTGGTAATGAGCTAAGAGCCACACTGGAGAAGTTTCTACTGAAGCTAACTATCAAAAATATAAAATTTCCAAGATGCTACTATTACATAAAGTAGCTGTGTGCAATGCCACTCTGTTGAACACAGTAAGCAAAATTGAGTCACTAAAACCCTATTTGCCAGATATAAGCTGTTGAGACTGATATCAGCTGAGCTGTATGATCTGATATGGATGGCGGTTCCACACTGACCAGCACATGTACACGTGCACAGGCAGAAGAACATACAAGTAATACACCTAACGTTACTTCGAAGTCCATCGTGTAAATACAAGCGTATATACAAGCATCACTCCTGTTCTCCACAACCTGCAGCCCTGGGCCACTCCAGCTGGTCAGAGTGCAATAATTTCTGCAGCAGGCTTGACTTGGAAAGCTAATCACAACTGCCATGGCTGCAACATGAGTATTACCAGCGCTTTTACAGCGCTACTTGTATTAGAATAATATTATTATTGTCAATCCATTGTGGTGCATGGCACTCGTTTTCAACAACCGAGTTTATGTCATTAGTTGCATATCCAACGCCAATAGGAAAAAGAAGGGGTGGGGCAAATTACCACGGTTCAACACTAGTCATATTGAACGGCGTTACGCCATGCCAGGCACGCACACAAAACACCCGCGCGAGTGCGCATGCATGTACACACCCAGGTAACACACATTCGTGCGACTTTACATAGCCTGCACTGTCGTTCTATGTCATAGGAGTGAGTGCACACACATATATTATATATTATATGTACATAGCAGACTCAGCGGAGGACGTTCAGGTTGGTTGTAACTCTGAGTTTCATGCCGCTAGGCAATCATCAGACAACTGATACTCGGGTCTACCCAACAGTATGCTTATAAACATAGAGCCACAAGCATAAACAAATTTAGCGCTAAATCTGGTGTGAGGTATGGGGAGAAAGCTGGCGCGGGCCAAGGCGCGACAGGGGAAGTGCCAGGATGGTGGCGGGCAACAGGCAGGTGTGAGCATGAAAGCGCGGAAAGAGGCGATGGGGAGGCAGTGTACAGCAGATGGGTGGAGGTGCCAGGAGGGTGGCGGGCAATGGGCCAGTGAGATCGCTACAAGTAGGGAGTCGTTTGGTGACGGGCAGGCGTGAGCAGAGTGGCATCGCCGAAAATGCAATCTTTGTACCGCGGAAAAATTCCACATCCTGACTACACCCAAGAAGCTCCTACTCAACAAGCGGTCTGAGATGGTCTCGAAATGCAGGCACGAGAATAAGTTCCGCCTCGCAAATTTCACACCTATCAAATGAACTGACCAAGTACTGTACTGCACTTTGCCTGAGCACCCATTATTATTAATAACAAAATCCCTTGGCCTGTAGTCGGCGATGCCACTCTGCTCACGCCTGCCCGTCACCAAACGACTCCCTACTTGTAGCGATCTCACTGGCCCATTGCCCGCCACCCTCCTGGCACCTCCACCCATCTGCTGTACACTGCCTCCCCATCGCCTCTTTCCGCGCTTTCATGCTCACACCTGCCTGTTGCCCGCCACCATCCTGGCACTTCCCCTGTCGCGCCTTGGCCCGCGCCAGCTTTCTCCCCATACCTCACACCAGATTTAGCGCTAAATTTGTTTATGCTTGTGGCTCTATGTTTATAAGCATACTGTTGGGTAGACCCGAGTATCAGTTGTCTGATGATTGCCTAGCGGCATGAAACTCAGAGTTACAACCAACCTGAACGTTCTCCGCTGAGTCTGCTATGTACTAAGCTCTGTCTCTGACATTGAACACTCTCTGCAGCTCGGGGATCAACGGATTCGTTTATATATATGTACATGTAGATTGCCTAGTTTTCCATACGTAATAAAATTGTGTAAGTATACACACATGTGCGTGCACATATAGATAGACTCAGCGGCATACGCATGAGTGTGTGCCGATAGGGCCACATGCCCATTATCGGCCCGGATTAGTCTGTGAAAGTTGCACGGCACGACAAACTTTCGGACAGTCTAAAGATATGACACAATGAATGTGGAATACCCACCAGTGTGTAAGACCATTCAGGGCCGGAGGAAGGAGTTTTGGAGTGGTCCGGCCAACCTTTGAGGGGGTCCGACCGTCCGGGGCACCTCCCCCGGGAGAAATATTTAAAATTTACATGAAATAGAGCGAATTTGGGCACCTCTTAAGGCTCCAGAAAATGCAGAAAATTATAGTAAAAGAACACGAACACAATTTTTTTATATCCATATCAAGCCATACAGTGCCGGTCATGGAGTCCTGAGCTACTTCGAAGCACATCACACGCCGGCAGTACAGTCGAGCAATGTACCTCTGGATTTTTTACACCGGTTTTGCACGAATCACATGGACCATCCAGCTGGGAAAGTGGTCCGGCCATGGCCGGACCAGCCTGACCGGTTCCGCCGGCCCTGCCATTTCATACCTATTTCGCAGCGTTTGTGATTTTCGGGGCGTCCCTGTTGATATTTGATGTCCTCACTTGGTTGATGACACAGTCACAAATTATCAAATTCACCTCCAATGCCATCCAATCTGCGTTCCGCGATACATGTACAGTGAACGGTGTTGAGGAAAG